TGCCAGAGAAGCTAGTAAACAAGGAGAACACTAAGAGAGACATACATGTTCCCCTGGAGAAGTGGAAAGGGTCAAGATCCCCTGAGCAAATTGGGAGCACGGGAAAGGGGGGGGAGGTTGCTAGGAGAATGAGAAGGGGAGAAGAAGAGGGGTACAGAGGACATGAGGGAGCAGAAAGGTTGAGTCAGGCAAAGAACAGAAGATAACAAGAATGGAGATACCATAATAGGGGCAGACATTTTAGGTTTACAGAGAAATCAGGCACTAGGGAAATGTCTGGAGATCTACAAAGATGACACCAGCTAACAATCTAAGCAACAGAGGAGAGACTACCTTACATGCCTTCCCCTGATAATGAGATTGATGACTCACTTTTATGCCACCCAATATCCCTCATCCAGCAGCTGGTGGAAGTAGAAGCAGATACCCACAACTAATCACTGAACTGAACTGGGATCCAGTTGCAGAGAAGGACAAGTGAAGAGCAAAGGGTCCAGACCAGGCTGGTGAAGCCCACTGAAACAGATGACCTGAACATCTGGGAGCTCTTGGTCCCCAGATTGATAGCTGGGTTACCAGCATGGGACTGATCCAGACCCCAGGAACGGGGGTTTCAGTGAGGAAACCTCGGAAATCTACAGGAACTGCTGTAGTAGTTCAGTACTTATCCCTAGCATAGGTGTGGACTTTGGGAGCCCATTCCACATAGAGGAATACTCCCTGAGCCAAGACACACGGGGGTGGGCCTAGGCCCTATCCCAAAGGATATGAGAGACTCTGATGGCACCCTAAGGAGCAGAAAGGATATGTGATAGGTAGGGAAGGTGGTAGGGGAAGAAGGGAGGGAGAGGGAACTGGGATTGACATGTAAAACAAACTTGTTTCTAATTCAAATTTTAAAAATCTGCAAAAAAAAAAAAAGAGAGAAGTTCACCCATGTCCTAGGAATAATTGACACAAGTATGTACAAGCCTACACTTCAACAGGAGCACAGTTAGCAGTTTCTTACATCTTACCTGGCTACCAGAAGTGCCAAAATATTTCCTGGTGAGAGTCAGGATGTCATCAGTCTCCTTCTGTGAAAGGAAATCGGAGTCTTCATCCTGCCTGAGACCCAGTAAGCTATGCAGGTAAAATGCATACTCTCTGTTGTTCATGTTGAGCTTTGAGGAACAGATCTCTTCTTGGTGAATGATGTAATAGAGGAGGAGGAGAGAAACTCTCTGGACCACCTCCTCTCTAAGCTCATCCTCAAAATCTCCACCAGCTGTTAGTAACAGCGCATCTGGTTCCAAACACTGTGGGGGAAGGTAAGGAAGACAAAGCCATGTTTTATGTACAGCCCCAGAGCAGTGCCCATGCAAGTTCTCAAATGATTTGTGCCTTGTGAATACAGAGCAAGGCAGTCAGTCCCAGCAACTATAGAGACTGAGTCATGGTGAGATGTTTACTTGACCATCATCTCTTTCTGGGGACCCTTTTTTGTAAAAGTGGCCTCTCTGTACTCAAGATGTTGCCTTGCTCTTTTGCATAAACCCAGCCAACTCGTTTGGCTGGGCCTGGTGGTGAATGCCATTAATCCCAGCACATGGAAGGCAGAGGCAGGTAGATCTCTGTGAGTTCAAGGCAAACCTCGTCTACAAAGCCAGTTCTAGGATATCCAGGACTGTTACACAGAGAAAAGCTGTCTTGCAAAACCAAAAACAAGAAAACAAATATACATACAAACAAAAATGTCACTCTTTAGGGGACCTTCCACAAGGCTCTCAATCTTTGTTGTCCCTCACAATGTTGTTCTATAAAAATAGCATGCAAGGGGCAAAGAGGTCCAGACCAAGCTGGTGAAACCCACAGAAACAACTGACCTGAACATTGTGGAGCTCCTGTTCCCCAGATTGATAGCTGAGATACCAGCATGGGACTGAACCAGCCCCCAGGAACATGGGTTTCAGTGAGGAAACCTCGGAAATCTACAGGACCTCCTGTAGTAGTTCAGTACTTATCCCTAGCATAGGTGTGGACTTTGGAGCCCAATCCACACAGAAGATACTCTCTGAGCCAAGAAACATGGGGATGGGCCTAGGCCCTATCCCAAAGTATATGATAGACTCTTATGACCCCCTGTGGAAGGCCTCACCATCCAGGGGGAGCAGAAAGGATATGTGATAGGTAGGGTTTTAGTTGGGGGGGGAGTGGTAGAGGAGGAGAGGAGGGAGAGGGAACTGGAATTGATGTGTAAAACAATCTTGTTTCTAATTCAAATAAAAAAATTTAAAAAATAGCATGCAAGACACATATGACTTTGAAATTTTCTAGATAGCTATGTTTTTAATAGTGAAAATAAAAGGGAGGGGAGAGGTAGCTAAAAGAAAGAGACAGGGAGAAGAGGAGGGCAGAGGAGGACATGAGGGAGCAGGAAGACCTTGTCAGGGGGTAGAATAGAGGAGAGCAAGAAAAGAGATACCATAATAGAGGGAGTCATTATAGGTTTAAAGAGAATTCTGGCACTAGGGAAATTTCCAGAGATCTACAAATTTGACCCTAACTAACAATATAAGCAATAGTGGAAAGGCTACCTTAAATGCCCTTCTCCGATAATGAGATTAATACTACCTTGTATGCCATCCTAGAGCCTTTATCCAGTAGCTGATGGAAGCAGAAGCAGACACCCATAGCTAAGCACTGAGCTAACCTCCTGGAACCCAGTTGCAGACAGGAAGGAGTGATGAGGGGTCAAGACCAGGCTGGAGAAACCCACAGAAATAGCTGAGCAACAAGGGGTTGCTCGTGGACCCCAGACTGACAGCTGGGAAACCAGCATAGGATTGTTCCATACCCCCTGAACGAGGATGTCAGTTTGGAGGTCTGGGCAGTCTATGGGGCCTCTGTAGTGGATCAGTATTTATCCTAGTACACAAATGGATTTTGGGAACTCATTCCACATGGAGGGATACTCTCTCAGCTTAGACACACAGAGGAAAGTATAGGCCCTGCTCCAAATGATATGACAGACTTTGAAGATTTCCCCATGGAAGGCCTCACCCTCCCTGGGGAGCTGAAAGGGGTTGGGATAGGGGGTCGATGGAGGGCAGGCGAGTAGGGAAGGGAGAGGGAACTGGGACTGACATGTAAAAGAAGCTTGTTTCTAATTTAAAAGTAGAAAATAGTTTGCACTGAAAAAAAACAAAAGCAAAAACAAAAACCCCACCCAAAAGAAATAGTGAAAATAAACATGTGACTCATTTTAATACTTTATAAAATTTACATATTCCAGACACACTTATTTGAGCATGCAGTCAAAAGTCTAAAATGAATAATGAGATATTTTATGTTTTATGTAAGTCCAAGTATTTTAGATCTAGTGTACATTTGCCAGCATATCTTACATTAAAGAAGTCATATTTCAATTATTGAATAGGTACATGTAGCTGAGGCTACTGTGTTGGGCAGCACAGCTCTAGAATTTCATTTTCTTCACAGCACTGTATTATAAAACTACTTTGTTGGTCTTTCTCTGTCTCTCCACAACAAGAGCAAGTGTTTATTTGGTCAGGTTTCCAGGTCTTCAGTCTAATGCTCTCAGTACATGGCACAAAACCTGGTATTTAGGAGGTATTAAAAATTCAGTGGTCACCGGGTCCTCCTCTGTTCTCACCAAAGAGATTTGTCAAAATGTTTCCATTGAATGGAACATATCATAACATACTCATCCCCATATATCACTTTGGTGTATTGACAATTTTGAGTTAAAGGCAACTGGGAAACAGTAAATATGGAAGTTCTCTCTGCCCTCTCCCCTTCTTTCTAAAAGTGAGGACTAAGTTTCCTTTGAGAAGGGTGTCTTCTATGTACCAAGAACAGAATATTCTTATCCCAGGAAACTGATGCAATCTTATTAATCTGCATAGACTACATCACCCCTACCATCTGTTCATTTCCTTCACATATTTCCTAATCCTAAGCCATTTTTCCTTCCTCCTCTCACATGTCCACAATTCTTTGTATTGGGTTTTTGTTGTTGTTGTTTAAATTGTGTATATATATTTGGGGGCATTCTTGTCTTTTGGTGTAACTGTCTTCACCACATAAAATATCAATACAAATAAAACTTATACACTTTTCTTCTGCTAGTCTGCCTTTCTTTTCTGTTCAGGTCATTTGATTTTGTCTCAGAACTCTTCAAGGCTGGATGGAAAGACGTCTCTACCCTGTACTCTGGTACATTGTTTCACACGCCACAGAGAGATGTAGATCCTCTAACTTGAGAGAGTCACATGACATAAGGAATTCAAAGAAACATCATTGGACAGTGAGAAAAATGACAGGAGCTGTGGCTGGAAAGTTTTGGAAAATGGATGGAACTAGAAGTTTTCTCAATAAGCCACATACACTTTAGTCTACTTCCTCTCCAACTCAGCTTCCGGGGACACACAGAGTTCACGTGAAAATCTATGTTCAGCATGAAGCCACAGCAACCATCTGGCATTCCGTAAGTAGCCCCCTTCCTACAATGAGTGTATACATTGGTGGCTGATCATAGGGCTGAAACCAAAACATAAAAATGTAGCTGGGTGGTGGACTTGGTGGAGCCGGGGCCCTACCCTGCCTGGGGAGTGGTGGGTGGATGGGGTGGGGGGTAGGTTGGAGGTGGGGGAGAAGGAATGGGAGTAAGGGGAGGGAGATGGAGAGGGAGAGGGGAATTACATGTGAAACAAGCCTGTTCCCTAACTTGAATTAATAATAATAAAAAGAGAAAAAAATGTAGCTGGGTTGAAACTATCTTGATAAAACTATTCTGTGTACTAAATAACCTTGTGCTGTCTTCCCGCTGTTCCCCTGGGGCAGACCAGACTTCTCCTGTCTCCCTCTTCTCTTGTGTCCTTTCTCTGTCTCTCTGTCTCTTTACTTCTGTTCTCTTTCCCCTCTCATCCCCCTTCCCTTTCTAATAAAACTTCTCACTTAAAGAAAAGTAACCTTGCGTAGCTACACTGCAGACAGTGTGACTTATGACTGAGTGATAACTTCATTGCATAACACCATGCTAAGCATTTCACATACTCAGATGTTCCTTAGAATGCAATCTAACTAATGCTGGAAAATGTATAGCATATTGGGGGTTTTTTGTTTTGTTTTGTTTTGTTTTTGAGATGAAGTCTCACTTTATAGCTTTGGTTGGCCTCCAACTCAGAGATCTTCTTGCCTTTACCTCATGCATAATAGAATAGCCAGGTATTGATGGCACATGCCTTTAATACCAGCACTCAGAAGGCAGAGGCAGGCAGATCTCTGTGAGTTTGAGGACAGCCTGGTCTACAGAGTGAGTGCCAAGATAGGCTCCAAAGCTACACAGAGAAACCTTGTCTCAAAATAGAAAAAAATATTCCATTCTATTATTTTTTAATGGAAAAATATTCTTGACCTCCTTAATAAACTACCAAAGATAGCCATATGCTATAAGGCATTTAGAATACCAATCATTCCATTATTTGATAGTTAATAAATTAGTGGATGTTTCAATATGCAAAAATATTGAACTTAAAATCAAACATATATAATTTCTCTCCTATGAAAAATGTTTGCCCATAGTGTAACATGACCAAATCTAACTGATGCTAATCACTTGCTTAAAGACACACAGCTAGTAGTGGTTAGTTATATGGATCTTAATTTCTTTACCAAATCATTTTCTGTCCTTTTTTGGTAGGAAGAGAGGTTAAGTTGAAAGAGGCAAAGGATATTGAAGAATCTAACATCAGTGATGATGAGACAAGGATGGTGTAGAAGGTTGAATGAGTATCTCAATAAAGGTTGTTGTTGGACTGGACTGGGCCATTAAAAAGCTGCCAGCAATATTGGGTCTAGGAAGCTCAGGAGGCCACCATACCAATCACATGTCGTCAAGTCAACAGGCACACAGGAGTGTATGTAGCCACTCTGAATACTATTTGGTGTGCCTGAGGCTCCTGCCCATTCCTGGTCCCCCCCTAATATTTAATACAGGGTGTGTATCATGTGGAAACATCAAGACTGCACAGACAGGTATTGTAGAATGGGATAACTCAAAGCATACAACACGGAACATAGTTAGCTTCTTTCTGATTTCAAAAAATTCAAGCCAGTTCTAGAAGTTCTAGAAGCATCTTGTTTTGTGTGACAAGATTTAGTTACACTAACTAGGAGTCACCTAGTTGGATGCTTAATGAAGTGAACTACGAATCAAATGAGCTTTAAAAAATCTTTGTTTTTATAACTGAATCTTAGAGAAGCTACAGAGGGCAATACCTTGGAGAAAGAAAACTATCGAAGCTTAAGAAGTAAAAACAAACAAACAAACAAACAAATAAATAAGAATTCCTCCCCCTAGGCAACTAGGATTGGTGATGGAAAGAAGGGGGAAACTCTCCATTCATTACAACTTGATTTAGTTTTGTGAATGAAATATTTAGCTGCTGGCACAGTTGTATATGGGAAAGGATGTTTAACAAAATTTTATAAATATTGCCATCTCATTGGAATCAAATCTACCTAAGGCTACACCCTGGTGAAAATATTATTTGTTAAAGAAGAAAAGCCACATTTGGGGATCATCCATCAATGTCCCTTTACATCTTGTCAGGGGGGAGCATAGGTTTAAAGGAAATAAACAAATCCAGATTCAGATAATTCATTTTAAAGACTTCAGAAGGAAATGGAGTTGGAGAAAAGATTAATCAAACTCCAAGCAAGGGCTTGCCTTGCAAGCTCAATGGCTTGCCCAGATTCTTGGTGGTAATTTCCCATTACTCCCTGAAGCCAAGTCAAACTTCATCCGTCTAATGCATAGTTCAGCTTTGCTTATGCCAGATGAGAACTGGAGCTACAAAGAGCAGCATCAGAGCTTTCTACACCCACAGAAGAAAGACAGTGAAATAATCCAGCTTCAGAACTGATTTATGATGTTAGCATCTTATTGCTTCTATCTACCTACCTATCATCTATCTATCTATCTATCTATCTATCTATCTATCTATCTATCTATCATCTACCTATCTTTTTATTTCTGGTATTTATTTATGTATGTGTGTATAGATGACATGAAAGTAGAAAGTAGAAAGATAAACTGGCTAGTGGGAATAGTAAGACTAGACGGGGGAGGGTACTGGTAGAAAATATAGCCAAGTTATGTGATATACTTAAATTAAATTATCATCCTTATGAAACCTACTTTGTACAAAGAATATATGTCGACAAAAAGACAAGTGTGTGGCTGGAAAGATGGCTCAGCAGTTAAGAGTGCTGGCTGCTCTTCCTAAGGATCTGTTTAGATGGATCCTCAGCCCCCACACGGTAGCTCACAACTGTCACTAACTCCTGTTCCAGAGGATGTCTGTGGGCACTTGCACACAGGCGGTGCACAGACATAAATGCAGGCAAGATACCCACACAGATGAAAAGTAAAAAACAAATACATCATTTTTAAAAAGAAAACATGGTTGCTACCTGCAAGAAAACTTTAGATGTTTACACACATCAAAGTTATAACAAGTGAGCTGGGGGTAGGAGCATGTGTGCACTAAAATGGGTTCCCTAAAACAGTGGTCATTTCTTGAGAGGCAGCTGGATCTCTGTGGGCTTGAAGCCAGCCTGATGTACAAAGCTACAGAGAAATCATGTCTCAAACAAACAAACAAACAAACAAACAAAAAACCCACCCACCTCAGCAGCTAAGAACTTGCTGATGCACCTTCTGGGACACTGAAAAAATTCAGTTAAAATCCTGAGCATCTGATCTTAGCATCTGAGGCAGATGAGGGGTGGGGGACATCTGGGTTAGATGGGATGGGATTTCTGAGGAATGTCACTGTTCCAAAGTCTCTGGGAAAGGATCACACATGGCCTTGAAGAATAGGGACTGAAGGCATTGTGAGCTCTACGATCCAGCACGTACATCTATGTCCATGTGATCCTGTAGAGAGGCAGTTAGCAACCTCTGGGGTACAACCCCTTTGGAGGGCGAATGACCCCTTCATAGGGATTGACTAGAATCATCAGAAAACATAGCTATTTGCATTAAGAGTCATAACAGAAACAATGAAGTTATGACTTCATAACAGAAGTTATGAAATAGAAATGAAAATAATGCTATGGTTGGGGGTCACCACATGAGGAACTGTATTAAAGGGTCTCAGCGGGCATTAGGAAGGTTAAGAAGTACTGCCCTAAGCAGTATCCAGGAGGAAACTCACTACCTTAACTAAGGACTAGAAAGGAAGGTTCAATATGGCTCAGTAAGCTAGAAGTGTTCAGAACAGAGATATTTCCCCTCCAGGAAGGTATGCAGGCTCCTGATTCCCACTGAGTGGGTTGTTTTTTGGGAGTTCTCTGTAAGTCCATTAAAACTCCATTCTAGGGGGCTGGGATTACAGGGCAGTTGGCAGAGCTCTTGCCTAGCATGCATGAAGTCCTAGATTCAATTCTTTCCAGCACTGAAAAGCAAAAACATTGCAATTATTCTCATTTTAAAAAATAAAGAAAGCTAGGATCAGGACCAAACTGTTCATTTTTTTCTTATAGATTTGTTCTTAAATGCCTCAGTTCTCATTTACCTCATATTGATTTTTCTTATTCCATTTTACATTGTTCCTCTTCACAAATTCAATAGCACCACCAACCTCAGTCTTTCTTTGCCCAGACACTGAGGATGCAAACCCACCCTCTTGCTTTTGTGCTTTACCACAGAGTACCTAGTACAAGCCCCACCTGTCAACCAGATGTCTCAAATGAGTGAAGAGACTCAGCAGCAAGTCAAACCCTGTGGTTGGGGTGAGAACCTGAGTGTCTGTGAAACTCGATGACTTTTTTTTTTTACTGGCTTTTCATGAAGGACAAGAAAACATATCTTAGGCTCCTTTCAGGAGAGTATTGAGGGGGATCAAGCCCTCTCCTATCATAGTCCCTTCTCCTCAGTTTCCCAGTGGAAGGCAGCTCTGAGTACTTAGCACTCTCAGACTGAACATTTCAAAGCCAGGGAATAGATACAATTCAAGTGGAAGCCGAACTGGCCAAACCCTCAATAATGTCACTAAAAAAAAACAATATAAAACAACCATCCCTCCTCAGCCCCAAACATGGAGAACAGTCTTGCCTGTTTATAGTCACCCAGCAAAACTAATATCCAACCACCTTAATAAGGGATTTCATGTCATTAAACAGAACATGGCCCCAGAGCAGATTCTCAGAGGACATTAATAAGATATGACTCCTGGTTATTTCCAGTGGGATGTCTGTTGTTACTATCTATATCTATTAATGTCATCACAGATGAGCTGACTATTATTATAACACATCTCCTCTGGGAACCATTGGGCGCCTTAATAATTATGGAATTATTTTTAATCATTCACAAAGAGCAGAGGAAAAATTCCATCTGTGCAAGACCCTTTCTGTCACAAGAGGGGCAAAACCAGAGAACACTTGGCTGGGAAATGCATTCCTTCACCCTATCCTCAGCCTAGAACTCTGTTGGGTTGACAAAGCCAGTAGAAACTTACTTTGGAAGCAGTTATGTGCTTCTTTTCTACTTGTTTATGTTTTCACTTACCTATGTATTTATAAGTTTTTCCTTACAACTGTCATTGGTCTGGAATGGGGTGACAAAAAGGGATTTTGTGAGCAGTTGTTTTAAGGCCCAGGCTCTCCTCCAAAGTGGGGCTTGATGGACTTCCTTCTCTGACACCCACAGTGGAGTCTGATGGATCTTCTCCCATGACACCTAATGGGGGATGGACTCTCAGTCCCCACCAATTTCATGCTACAACCTGGATAAGGTTTTTTAAAAAACCCATCTGTGTGTATGGGGCGGGGAGTGTCCACACACCTTTAATCCGGAGCATTCTGTGAGTTCAAGGCCAGCCTGGTCTACATCCAGAGCTTGCACAGAGAAACCCGTTTCGAAAAAGCAAAACAACAAAAACCTTGTCCTAGGCAAGTCAAGATTCGGTCTGAGGAGGAGGAAGCCTTGATGGAGTAACCATGAGGCCTGTACAACTGCTTCTGGTGAGTAGACAGGTATGGTTCACTTGATAGGTTAGGAGAATGAAGGCTGCAGGTGAGGCTGTGGGATAGGCCTCGGGAGGCGTGGGTCCAGCTTCAACTCTAAACACAGCAGCATTTCTGTCCCGCAGCTGATCTCTCACTGGTAATAATTATCAAGGCTTCAACAACCTGTAGAGCGCGCACGTGCACACACACATGCACACACGCACACACGCACGCAATCCGGAAACACCATTGGCTTCTAGGAGAGGGCACCCAGGAAGTGAGTCAGAATGCTGTGATTGTCTCATGGAAAGGAAATTGCCTCTGTCTAACATCGTGCACGTGCAGGCTTAAAAAGAAAAATCAAAGGAATCTCAGAATAGCATAGAGGGGGAAGGACTGAGCAAGCATGTCAGCAAGTCAGCGCCTCTAAAACAGGAAAAAGGGTGTAGAAACTTAAGCATGGTTTTTCCATGTATTTATAAGGATAAAATAATCCTTGTCTTGTCCCTGCAGTGTTTCCAGTGGGTTGGCATAACCCAAATGTTACCGTGCTACGTTAAACTTCATATGAAGAGATTTGGATGCCATTCCCTGTGATAAAACCTCTAGGAGATCCACTGTTCCCTTTCGAGTGATTCTTAGCAGCCAATCCCACTTTATTGTACTAACCAGCTTGCAGTCTCCTTGCATCCTGTTTGTCCTCTGTGGACACCCAGTCTTCTCGAACAGAATTTTCATGAGGCTTCGTGGATGGCTGAGGGACTGGTGGTCAGCAGCAGAGAGGACCCTCAGAACTTCTAGCAGGCCTGGACTCCCAGCGCTGCTGTTATCCTGAGTGAGGGCTTTGTCGGTCTCAGTAGAGAAAACAAGGCTCAGGAGGTGGGACAGCTGTAGCATCATCAATACTGAGAGAGTTGTCCCGAAGCACATGTCCACTCTTCCTTTGGCTCGAGTAAGGCCGGAGGTGGGGGCTACGTACAGGAGAACTTAGAACCAACCAGAGGAATTTCTGTGATGGAAAGGGAAAAAGGCTTCAGTTACTGTGCCTGCAGCACGTTTGAAAGGACTAATTGCGTGGCTAAGCTGATTTGCAGTGGCAACAACCCGGCATCTGTATGTAGCAAGTAGCCCCAAAGACCAGCCAGGAAACTTTCCAACTCACAGTGGCCAGGAAACTGGACCGACACTAAGTACACAAATAGTCAAACGCTGAGAAGAGGGTGCATCTCCCCTGCCTGCAGGCAGTGCCTGGCACAGGACCTGGAGTGAGACACCAAGGGGGGGGGGGGATTCTGTGAAGTCAAAGAAGAAAAGTAAAAAGAAAATGACTTCTAACAAATTTCCAGTATCACACTGAATTAGAATCTTTCAAGAGGACAATTTACTAGAAAAAAAAAAAAATGTTACATTTGGAAAACACTAGTTTTTAGCTAGTAGAAACCCAAGACTCTGGAAAATGAAATATGCTAGAAAAACAAGAGCATTTCAAGACTCCAGGATGATGAAAGATCTGCCTACTCAATAGTCTCTGAGAGGATGGGAAGAGACTTTAGAATCAATCAGAGTTTATGGAGAAAAAAAAAGTCTTCACTTGATTGTTTAAGGAGTGCAAAATGTTAACAGCTTCTCTTGTAGGATCCCGACATGAACCAATAATGATCTTGGGGGTAATAACAAGATCCTGAGATTATTTTTGTAGTTAAAAAAACCAGTTTCAGACTATTATGTTAGCATTTACGAAAAGTTAGAGGGTGACACAAACCTTTGTAAACCCAGAACTTACCTCAAGAAAGAGAGATGCTTATTTATCTTGAGCTCCCTGGGCCTTTAAATCTCTGAGAGCATTTTGTGGTTCCAAAGGTCTGTTTTTAAAATTCCTTGACTGTGCTCTGGGAGCTGGAGAGGATTATTTCAGCCCAGAGACATTTCTAGTTGCTATGGAGAGGGCTGCTCAGAAGGTAAAAACGAAGGTGGATAAAAGCGGACAGTTTCTGGCTGACAGATTTTCAGGATAATCAAATAAATGTGGTTAGGGAATTATCCTTTTATATTAATAGTTAGCACAATATTTGGAATTATCTACAGTCATTTGCCTTTCAAGGGACAAAATCTAGGTCAAAAAAAAAAAATTCTACCTTGCAAAGTGAAAGAGATTTAGTGTTAGATAAGGCATTCTCCTGTCCAGCTAATGGCTGCTTTACCAGGGCTTAAACCAAGAGTCTCCTGAAAGATTGGCCCTTTAAAACTTCCCTTCCCAAGCTGCAAATGTTTACAAGACATAAGGATTTCATAAACAGTGTTACTAGATCCAAATAGGGGACTCATGCTAATCATACAATGATTATGAAAACTGAGCACAGCAGTGTGAGATGATCACTAAAGAAAGATTGTGGGGGTGGTGGACATTTTAGGGAAAAAAATAGTCTCAGAAAACACCACAGTTCTATTTAACCATCAATGGTTTTGTCTCAAGTGTCAAAGAGAGGGACCTGGCCTTCTTCTCACCAGCACCATGGTGGTATTAATTAACTAGTGTTCCAGGCTAGACTTGGTTAAGAAGCAAGGAGTTAGACCAAAGTTAATACTTTCAACCTAAGGGTCTAGCAAGGGCTGAGGAACTGGTTGGCTGTGGCTTCACACTACAGAGCATTGGACCAAACCTCCTTAAAGTCATGTGCTCATCTCCAGTGGACTGTCCATGTAGTAGGAACCACCATATAAAGGCTTGGCCTCCCCACTCTCAAGAGCTTGGTTAAAAGGCCACTGAAGTAATAATAGTTCACTACTTATGCAATAAAATTTGTTGGCCTTAATCTCCTCATTAATTAATCCAGTTATAAGGAATAGATCCTCAAATACAGCCAACTCCCACAGCATAACCTGCTCCATTGTTCCAAGACTAGTAGCTGATTTGCTCTGACCAGCACTCTCAAGACTATGTCCTCCATAGAGCATTTTCACCAGCTCCCTACTTCCTTTTAGCCAGTGTTCAGTCTGAAAGTCATACATGGTCTCTTGTTCTCTGACTCAGGAGTGTAGCTGACACCCATTGTGGTCACCCTGCCTGTTTCCCCCGAAATGTTGAAATTAATCTTTCTTAGATATGTTTCCCTTTTCTTTTTTGTTTTCTGGGTTTTTGTTTTTTATTTTTGTGTTTTTGAGATAGGGTTTCTCTGTGTAGCTTTGACCATTCTGGAACTCATTCTCTAGATCAGGCTGGCCTTGAACTCATAGAGATCCTGAGTGCTGAGATGAGTACACCACCACCACCATTACCTGACTTAAAAATATTTTTTGTTTGTTTTGTTTTGGAGGGGTATTTCCATTTTCAATCCAGACTAATTTCTAGGAAGTGAACTTCATATGTTTATTATCTGCATAAAGAAGGAGATAATTTACTTTTGATTAAAATATATGAGCTATTTGGCTCACATTTTGGACCCATCTTCTCTGATGAAGTACTCCCTAACTTATAGATGCTGGTTTGTGCTAACATAGGAGGCTACAGTAGAAAGAGGGGCTGATTCTTGCAGACTAGTTTTATTTCGTTCAGTTCTTTGCTTTCTCATGTGTCCTGAGCTTCAAACTTCTGCCATACAGCGTATTTACATGTGTTCTGTAAACAAGAAAGAACTTAAAGGGACCTCTTAAAATGTAAGAGAGCAGTGATTTAAGATGAGACGCAAACAAGGCTTGAGACATCCTGGAGGTACAGCCATGTAGTCATCCAAGTAAGCCTCTCTAGGGATTGAGTCTCACTTCTATAATAATCCTGAATTTCTATACATATTATGACAGATTTTAAGGTATGTAGATGTCTTGAGGCTTCTGATAATTCAAACATTGTGCATTTTGATCCAATGCCAAGGCAGGAAATGTTTTTCTTCCTGGGCACCAAGTTGTCCATACAGAGGGATCTCTGGCAATAATCTGAAAGCACACATCTATGAGATACTTCTAGGCCACTTTCCCCCATATTCACTTTGGGCTGCCTACTTCCTTCTTTTCAAAATGCTAGTCCTTCTAGATGTCATTAGTAACAGTGATTCTTGGTTTTTTTAATCATGCATCTTTTATGCCTAAATACTGCACCATCATTTTTATCATGAAAAAAAAAAAAACAACTGTTAAACGTTCAAAAATCATCACTGTACTATTCAGAAATGCTCAAGGTTGTAGGGAGACACTGTAGCCCCGCCTCCTAGTAGCCCCGACAGGTGTGCTGGGACACGCCCTTGAGGACGGGGTGAGGGGAGGTCTAAGGTGAAGAGGGAACGATTCTTAAGGGACTGCACACACTTGAAAAGCCCCTTCTCTCTGACCTGGCTGCCTTGCTGCCCCTGGCACACTCTGGCTTGTGTTTGGGCTGGTGTTTATCTGAATAAAGAAACCTTAGCCTTATGGACTACAGGTCATCTTTGAGCACACACTGCACGCAATAATATACAGTTGGCGCCCAATGTGGGTCACACAATTAGTGTATGTCACCAGATATCTAAGCCTATCTGTACCAGATGTGTGTGTCTGATTATGGGTATGTGAACCATGTGTGTACAGGTGCCCACAGAGGCCAGAAGAAGGCATCTGTAGGTAGAGTTTTATCTGTGTCTCAGCACTTGCTCCCAAATAACCACATGGAAACTTATTATTTATAAATGCTCAGCCAATAGCTCAGGCTTATTACTAACTAGCTCTTAAAAGTTAAATTAATCCATTTCTATTAATTTATGTGCTGCCAGATGGCTCATGACTTTATCTGTCCCCCAACATGTCTTGTTCCCTCTGTGTCTCCTGGTGACTCCTCTGGCTCTGCCCTTTACTTCCCAGAATTCTCCTAGTCTGGCTCTCTTGCCAGTAAGCTCTTTACTAACCAATGAAAGTAATGCATTTTATAGCGTACAAAGGTTGTTCCACAGCATCCCCCTTTTTGTCTAATTAAAAAGGAAGGTTTTAATTTTGACATAGTAAAATTGTATACAACAAAAGCAATTATCAAGTAAGATATCCAATACATTTGTATTTGGCAAAATTAGAGAACTACTCTATTATTTATCTTATCTTTTTGAATCAAAAGTTTAATATCTAATTTACTTTACCTATGACTATCTAGTCTTCAACTCCATCTAGACCCCTGATAAAATATTATCAGGGACATCTGGCTGTCTGGACAGTTACCCAAATTTCTTCTGCAATGTTGGGGCATCCAACTTGGCTTCCAGGCCCAGGATACTTGACAGACTTTTCAGTGAAGCAGGAATTTTAAAGAACTGTTCTGCCTTGTTTTGTCAAAGTTCAGCAGTCACTTTCTTTTGTGTCTTGCTTGTCCAATTTGGACAGCATACTGTCAGCAATTGAGGCAAGGACAGTTTCTTGCCCAGTGTCTAGCTTTTGCCACAAAGAAAGCAAACTCTATATGGAGTTTCTTTGATGCACATCATGTTCTCTGCTGCCAGGAGCAGATGTGCCTGACTATTAAAAAAAGTCTTATGTTATTAAAGCATTTTAAATGCCATATTCTTTAGGTTTTTGAAGTGTTTGAAGACCACCTATGTAACCTGGAAAACATACTTAATATGATTATAAGTTGATTATTATAGATGATTAACTACTAACCTGTGTTTCTTAATTATACATTATATTTTTAAATGAGTTGCATAAGCATAATACCACAAACAAGAGTAGAAACATACTTACAGTATAGCAAAAACACCTCAAATTTGTAGTAATAAACCAAAATCCATACCAATGCAAAATATATTGAGATTCACGGTTGCTTTTTGGATTAAAGTAGATTCAATAATCTATCCTTTTATCTCATCATTTCTATATCATATCCCCCTTTAAAAAGAGATCTTTGAATTTAACTCTTTTTTAACCTTTTTTTTTTACTAAGACTGATAAAAAATTGTAACCAAACTCCTTTAAATGAT